TCGTAGTGTATTTTGAGCTGAAGCATATGCGTACGAGTGTGGTGCTCGAGTAACAGAGTCAATTTTATTATTTGAATTTATTTTTAAATTGATACATTTTATATAATAATTTATTTTTATCTCTGGTTAAGTTTTTGGTTTTGGAGCTTCTTTCAAAATATGCTAAAAGATAGGAGGATGATTTCAATTCGCTTATTTTTTTTACGTTTATTTAATTTTTGCATAAAGTTATTTTGATAACATAGGTCTGTGTCTTTTTTCAAAACAATAAGAACAACGATACTCTGTCACCGTAACGTACCGTTCTGTTTACGTTGTGATTAGGAAGTTTTAAGTTCATTATAATAATAATAACAATTCTTCTTCTACATCCTTACATTACCACTTCTTCAAGAAAGAGAGTTTTAGGCCCAAAATGTGTTATTTATGCCTCGACTAATGGAGATGTTTCTCTGTCCGTTGTTTACCTATACTAATACCCATAATAGTTTGTGTCAATTACTTAACAATGTAGGTATTTAAAAGTTTTCTACTAACCTATGCTACCGGTCAAATTTTATATAAAATAGATGCCGGTGTGCTTTGTAAATAAACCGGACAAAATAAGAATTCTAACAGTTCTAGTGACAAAATATTTTGTAGATAGGGTTAATTGAAATGTACACACAACAAACAACATACTTGATCAAGTTTATATGTGTGTGTTATTCCAGTAAGTATGTTATTCTACGTTTAGATTGTATGTAAATTGTAAATAGCAGTTTTTTATGATAATTTGATATTTTATACAATTAAAAATAAACCGTACGAAAAAAACTTTAATTTAAGTTATTGTGAATTGTAAAATTGATTAACTCAGTTATTATCCATAATTGTTTAGGAAATATTGTATTCACTGAAGCATATCGTGCTCTGCTGTGTAATACGAGTATTTCGTGGTTCTGAGTGGCACACAGGCAATAACAATTGAGAGCAATTTGAGCACGAATGACATTTTGTTTGGTACAAGTTTGGTACAGAAGTTATCATACAGTTTATTTGTAGATAGCACATCTACAGATAAACTACGTATGATAACTTCTTTACCAAACTATTTATGTATTGATATGATTATTTTTTTTCTTTTTTTTTTGTTAAATTACAACTACCGCATTAGGAACACATCCTGTGTCGCGGGGGAAACATACATGAAACGGACACAAAGAACACCCGGACTCAGAACCACAATGTGTGGATCACACAAAGTGTCGTCCCATGTGGGGTTTGAACCCACAACACTCAGTGTAGTAGGAAGCGGCGTGGCGACCGCTTAAACCACTACGCCATCCGTGCATTCTCACAGTTCACATCAAAATACATGCGGTGTTTGAGAATATTTTAACATATCCCAGCTCCGAAGAAGGCTGATCTTAGGCTCGGCTTCGTTTGACATAAATGGTAATCATGAATCAAGAAAGAAAGTACTAATCATTCCCAATCATTCCCATAACTGCTTCAAACTTAGTCTAATAGTTAAATTATACAACAAAATTTTGTTATAAATGATTCATTTAAAAATAACGGGATATATCCCCGAGGGCTGAAGTGTATAACTCAATGAAACTATGATATTACCCACTATTTGTTATATTTAAAAAACTCTGTAATCATTGTTTTGGTTCTGATCATAAGTTTGTAAAAATATTACTAAATTTTGCCTATTATAGGGTGAGTTAAAATACTTTTAAATATCTATACAAATGTGTAGATGTGATACAAATGTGTGATGTATATTTGTTACTTAGTCATGTCAGAATGAGATTCAATTAATTTATTTATTTGGAATAGAGATAGATTATAATTTTGAACAGGACAAAGGTTACTATATATCCCTTTAATTGTCAATACAGCATACTAAGCTGAGTGGAAAGGTAGTCAAAATTAATGTTTTCACTCACTTTCAGTTGCTGTCGCGATACAAAGTTATATATTTCGAGATTGATACGCTTTTACTCCTACTTTCCCCAAGAGAGCCGTTATAATTCGATACATTGCGAATTGAATAAACGATTTCTTTGTTGTTGCGGTTAAACTCAATTGTTGTAGGGAAAGAAATCGTCTAGAAATCATAAGGAAGTCTATTGACTAGTGTTCCCGGGGACTATAGGCTTTAAGCCTATTTTAAAGGCTAGACTCCTAACTAAGGGGCTTGATAGGCTAAAAGCCTATAAAGACTTATAGTCCTTTAGGCTAGGCTTATTCAAGACTCCTGGTTTTAGGTCCAAAGTCCTGCGAAGGCCTAAGCTTTTTAAGACTAGTCTAACAACGGTCATGCTTATTAACCCTCTGAAAGGGCTATGAAACTTATAAAAGTACATCAGTTGAGTCAAACAAGCGCTATCTATATCTATTGCTATTTATCTATATCTGATACAAGTGTTCCCAGTGAACAATCGTTTTCCGAAGCAGGAAATTTGATTAAAAGAAAAGGAAATCGCCTGTCTACTAAAACATTAGATCCTCAATGTGCCTTTCATCGCTGCTAAATTGTTTTACTTAGATATACGATTTATTAGCGATACTTAGGTAAAATTATAATGTTCTTTTCTTTTCCTTTATATAAATATTCTTAAAATAAATAAAATATAAAATAAATATTGTTTTCATAAGATCGCTTACTTAGACTGATTCAAAAATAGCTTCAGCCCTAATGTAAGTCTGTTGTTCAAAAAAGACTCCAGTAGCAAAAAAAAACGAAAGGCTTTTATAGGCTTATAGGCTTTTTTAATTGACGAGTTTTTTAAAGCTCTTTTTTATTAGCACAGCTCTAGAAAAGGACCAATAGGCTTCAATTTAGGGCTAAAGGCTGATATAATCGGTAATCGGGAACACTACAATCGTCTGTGTTTATGTTACTAGTACTTATAATAAATGATATTTATTTCTGCAAGTAAATCTTTTCAGATATTTTACAAGTCGGACTTTACAGCTAGAAAGCGCCAGCATTTTCTAAGACTCACTCTGGGAAGAAACGCCGAAACAAACCACAGAGGTATCTTTTTTTAAGTCTGTGTACAATGTTAAAGAGAACTATGTGAGTGCAGTATAGGGTCTGTGTATGACTTTTGAAGAAAGTACCATAGTTTTGAGTCGGCCCGTCTATACAGACCTTTTTCCTATTACTTATTTAGGGTCGTACGTACGAGTACAAAATTGGCTGTTGGCCAATTGGTCAGTCGATCGCGAGTTCTCTTACTATCCCAGATAAATAATTGCGTGATGAGGACAAACATTTTTCTGTATCTGGGTGTAATTTGTCGTTGAAATTTACGATATGTATTTGGTCACCATAGTACAGGCTCAGCCTAGTTTGCGTTCAGACGACCGTGTGTAATGTGTGAAGTTACTAACAATATTATTATAAAGGCATGTTGAATCTTATACAATAATGTTTTAAATAATTCATGGTTTATTAAGTTTATGTAGACAGAGTCGAGGTTGAAAACATGAAAGACAATAGTAATTACTGTGTATGTTAATACTGTATGTAGTACAGTACAGTAGTGAAATTGGAAACTATTAAAACTAAAAGTTACATACATACATATCGTTAGTAGAAGGTTAAAATGGCGTTGGGCAGGACATACATATGTTACGGGATACGAAAGAAAAGTGAACAAAAATAATAACAGAGTGGTGTTCTAGGGGCGACAAAAGAAATAAAGGGAGGCAGTCGAAACGTTTAGGAAGACGACTACAGACAAATGGCGGGCGCTAAGTGATCCCGAATAGCTAGGGATCGAACTGCATAGAAGTCCTTGGAGGAGGCCTTTGTCAAGAGACAAGTTGCTACACATAAAGCGATTACCGATATACTATAAAGACTATAACTGTGTAACAAGTATAATATTAATGTAAATAGTATAACGTTTAAAAATAACATTGTAAAGAGTAACAGTAATAAAGGCTTATATTATTTATTTTATTTTATTATACATACAAATATGTGTTGCTTTGTATGTGTCTAGTATTTTGATCCATTTATGGAGTAGTATTGTTTTTTTTTTTTTTTTGTTTTTAAAAAGACAACGCCCGCATTAGGAATATATATTCCTGTGTCGCGGGGGACTTTACAAACATACATGAAACGGACACAAAGAACACCCAGACTCAGAACAACAATTTGTGGATCACACAAAGTGTTGTCCTATGTGGGGTTTGAACCCACAACACTCGGCGTAGTAGAAAGCGGCGTGGCGACCACTTAAACCACTACGCCATCCGTGCAGTCAAGTTGTTTATGTATGATAAATAGATAGGACATTATGTATTGCTTAAATTTTGTATACCACCAGTTCAAAATGATTACAGTACACCCAAAGGTAGCCTGGAAGAGATTGCACTAAACGATAAGGCTGTCCTTTGTATATTGTTTTTGTTGTATATTTTATTCTTTGTAATATCTGTAAAACTCTGGTGTACTAATGGTGTAGTTTGTATTTATTAATCTATTAAAGAAAAATGTGTTAAAGAAGAAGTCACAAAAGTGAGAGCTATCAGTAGTTTAAAAATATTTAGGAAAGAGGGGAGCCCTGAAATGATTCGGGAATGGCGGAAATACACACGTAACGTTGCTATTGTACGTATACTCGTACTAATATTTAAAAAGAAATAAAATTGAAATCTCGCCGGTACTTAACCCGGCGAGAGTGTGGCAGGGTAAATAATACCCGGCCACTCAGTTAAACAACTATATCTTTTCCATTTCGCGCTGAATCCGTTTGGGCCGCTCAGTAGCTGGAGGTAGGAGTGTGCGGGGGGGGGGGGGGAAGTGGCGTGATCTCAGTTATGCGTGCGCCGGCACGGGAGTTATACGTGCGCAAACGTACTCTGGGTAAGTTTCACCCTGCCACATAGCTGTTGCAACTTTTTTTATCTTTATTTATTTTTATTGCTGTTTTTATCATTGTCTTTATTGTAGTACTCGTACATCTTTTGCTTCTTTTAGGTTTTTTTTCAAAATGGACGACGAACGTATCATATCTATGTTAGAGGATGTACCAGACAATTCTACCGAAGAATCAAATTCTGAATTAGAGAACGATCACTGCAGTGATCATATTATTAGCTCTGGTACGGAACAAGGAGCTAGTAGCGTGGAAAGTAGTTCTGGGCATGAGAACGAAGACGAGTCTGATGACGATGTTCCCCTGTCATTTTTGCGGAGTAATTCTTTGCCTATTCAGGGTGCTTTTTACGTAGCTAAGGATGGCCAAAAATGGTATAGACTACCTCAGCGGCCCAACGTGCGTACTCGTTCTGTAAATATAGTAAACGAACGGCCTGGGGTGCAAGGCGAAGCAAAAGAAGCTATGAACGAATCTGAATGTTGGAAAATTTATATAACAATGGAAATGAAAAATGCAATAACTACACACACAAACGCAGAAATAAAAATTCGTCAAGAGAAATGTAACGATCGTTCAAAATTATATTACATGAATGAAACAACTATTTCTGAGTTAGACGCATTCCTTGGTTTATTGTATATCGCTGGTCTCAATAAATCTGGCCGCCAAAATATCAAGGATTTATGGAGAACCGACGGAACCGGAGTTGATATTTTTCGTACAACTATGTCGCTACAAAGGTTTTATTTTTTACAAAATTGTGTGCGTTTTGACGACAAGTCGACGAGAAATGAGCGAAAAGCAATAGATAACATTGCAGCTATAAGAAGTATCTTCGATAGCTTTGTTCTAAACTGCCAGAAAGCCTATATTCCACATGAATATATGACTATAGATGAAATGTTATGGGCGTTTCGAGGTCGGTGTGGATTTAGAGTATACATTCCAAGTAAGCCGGCGAAGTATGGCATAAAAGCGTATGCTCTTGTAGATGCCAAATCTTTCTACACTTTTAACATCGAAGTGTATCCTGGAAAGCAACCTGATGGTCCCCATGCCTTTAGTAACAAGGCTTATGATGTGGTCGATAGACTTGTCCAGTCTATAACAAAGTCCCACCGCAACCTCACATTTGACAACTGGTTTACCAGTTATAAACTGATGAAGCATCTTCTAGCAGAACACCGTCTTACAGCTACGGGTACTGTTCGGAAAAATAAAAGATGTATTCCAAACTCTTTTTTGAAGACAGGAAAACAACCTGCAAGTTCCATGTTCGGGTTACAAAGAGACGTTTCTATTGTTTCCTACGCTCGGAAAAAAAATAAAGTGGTGATCCTTATGTCTACACTTCACCATGATGACCTTATAGATGTGACAACAGGAGATAAAAGGAAACCAGAAATGGGAACCTTTTATAACTCCACAAAAGCTGGAGTGGATGTTGTTGATGAAATGAGCGTCAACTACGATGTTTCACGTAATAGCAAGCGTTGGCCTATGACTGTGTTTTATGCGATTTTGAATATAGCTGCCATCAATGCAAACATCATTTACAGGGCAAATCGAAACCTAAACACAAAAAGAACTGAGTTCAATTTGGGTCTGTCTTTGGTGTATGAACACTTGCGTCAGAGAAAAGATAAAACAAACATCCCTTTGTATATTCGTAATCGAATCTCATCCCAAATTGGTGAAGCTTCTGCATCACTATCATCACAGAACATAGGTGCTCGACCTGTCAGATGTCGTGATTGTCCAAACAAAAAAGATAGAAAGACGAAAAATGCATGTAAGCACTGTGGAAAAGCGATATGTAAGGAACATGCAGTTTTATTCTGCAATGACTGTGCCAATGTTCAAGACTGAATAAAAATATGTTAGGTTATGTAACGGATTGTTGATTTAGTTTTTTATGAAGAAAATCTCATATATTTTAAGATTACATAGTACAAATTATATATAAGAAAAATATTAATTTAGTTTTCGTTTGTTTCTAAAGTTTAAAATTTATTGTTTTAGTTTTTTGGTTCCTATAATTTTGTAATAAAAATAATAAATGTATATGATTAAACAAATTGGTTTTTATTTAATCAATTAAACAATATAACAAACTTATGACCAGATGTTGAACTTTGAATAAATTTAAAGAACTGAACAAAATAACCTACTTTTATATTTGGGTGAAATTTACCCTGCCACAAAGTCCGTGTAAGTTTTTTCACCACATTCTCGCCGGGTTAAGGCAAAAAAACTTTTTTTATCTTGTCTGTTTGTGAAGTAAGCCGAGGTTATGTACTTTCATATTGCAAAAAATAAGTATATCCGACGTACGGATGAAAGGACGAGCAAAATATATACATGTGCAGCTATATTCACTGTAATCTCTTGATGTCAGATTTAACTTTTTTTTTGTAAATCTAACTCTTGAGTAAAGTTTAAGGTTACTTAACGTCATTCTACGGCCCTTAGAAGCAATAAAATAGCCATAAATACGGATTTCTTTGCGAAAAACGGCTAGTTAATATGGTACCCACGTTGTTTAATCCAAGATATGTCAGTCTGTAGTACAAAACTAAAGTTATTTTTTAAATCGTCATTTTCATCATTTGATTATTCAAATCAATGTTACTATCTAGTAACATTGATTTGAATAATCAAATGAATTCTTTTTTTCTTAATTCATCGCCTTTGTTCCTACAATTAATGTCAACTTATATGTATGTACCTGAAAACATGTATGAATTGCATGAAATTTGATAATGGAACTATTTTGTGGTCTGTGAAATATTCTTACGTGAAGAAGGGCCTAAAACTTTATTGCTATAAAACTAATCCAAAGTTTCTTTGTTCTAGGGCCAATGAAATAAGAATTTACGATATTATGAGGAACCCTTATAATTTCGTTATGTCTGTCCGCCCGCCTGTCCACACTATATCTCACAGACTATTATTGTTAACTGTAATTTCGCGTGAACATACATACTAAGCTGATAAAGTGGTAAAATAAAATCTTAAAAAAAGGTAAAGTTAAAGTGGGGATGTTATTTTTTATATTCGTACATCCGATGATATCGATTGTCATTGGATAGGTTTTTAAATAGACCTTGTCTTATTTATATTTTAGTTACGTATTAGTTCGCATTATTGTGATAAATAGCGGAACCTTACATTAGGCGTGGCTAGACCCCTAGAGGGGTCCAGAAGGCGATAACAACCTGGACCCCTACTAATATAGAAGCGCAAAGAGGGCACATCGTGTCGTTTTAGTCGGATCGAGTCCGACACACCACCCCGCCGAATAGAAAACCCCGGCGGGGTGACGGTCCGAGGGGATTTCCACACGTAAAAAAAAAGGCGTAGCTAGACCCGCACTTGTTCGTTTCTTTTTTAAAGATAGCCTGTGTTGTTGTTGATGCAATAAAGATAAATTAAGCGTCAAGGCCGTTGATGTAATGCGTTATCTATGGGCAATAACTCTTTCCCATAGCGTTATACGAGTAAGATAAGCCTATTAAACCTCTTCGTAGAACCTAATAATCTTTTTTCAAGTTTAATATTTTCTTTACCAATAAGATAGCAAAACATCACGTCAGTAATTTTATTACTTATCTCCAGGAAACTTAGTGGTAACTAGGATTGATAAAAAACAGGTAGGTAGGAAAAATAAAGAGGTTTCCCACTTAGAGGAATGCTCCAAGTCTGTTTAATGGATAAAAAACACTTTACATAATGTTACACAAATTCTTGTCCTGAGTCTGGGTGTTATTTGTGTCCGTTTCATGTATGTTTGTAAAGTCACAGGATGTATTCCTAATGCTCAGATTTCTCTAAAAAGAAAATATGCTACTAGATTTCATATTCAAAATTTTGATATTACACACTTGTCTTAAAATATATACCTACGTATACAAGTATATTTTTAATATATTACGCTACAGTTTACTCGCAAGGGGACTTTTATTTTTTATGTCTTTTGCCTATTCAGGGTCTTTTATTCCAGAATCGTCACTGGAGACCCGTGACACAGGATATATTCCTAATGCGGGAGTTGTCTTTAAAAAAAAAGTATTAGTTATACGCTTAGCGCATATTTTAACATCGCGATCTACAAAATGATCAATTTAGACCATGTCATCTTTTGTTTAGTTTTGGTAAAACAGGTTAACATTTTATAAATGAAAATAGATGGCGTAACATGTTCCATTATTAATAATAAATTTCCATGTTCCACATGTTCCATTTTAATAATAAAAAACACTTTAATAATAAAAATAATAAAGTATGAAATTGCCTTTGTATGGTAATAGATATTTTGAATTGACATAAAACCTTCATGGTGTGAGATTTACGTGTGAAACTTTTTTCCTTGATACATATGAGGTTCTTCTTTCGCAACCCTCGATTTTCAATTTTCGACTTTCAATTATTTTTTTATTCAGCTTAGACGTGATAGATGGATACTTCGAAAATCCGAGTCATTTTTGAATACAAGTGCCGACGTGGAACTAACGCGGCAGAAACGATTAACGTTGCGTTTGCAGAGAAGACTGCTAATGAACGCATAGTGCGTTTTTGGTTTAAACGCTTTCGTAATAGAAACTTCGACTTAAAGAACGAATTTGGAAGGACGTCCACATGAGTAAAAAAAGCCGTGTGGTGTCGTGGGACACCCGATAGGAATGAAGTTGTGACGATCGCGTAAAACTGATTTGACACGATTTTAATTACAACGCCATCTATGAAAGCGGCTATTACCTACATATTAAAAACAATTAAAACAATTTATACATTGGTAAAATCTCCTTGCGAAATGATTTCCTATCTATTCGATAGATGGCGCTGAATGTCTGACAAGATGACACGAAAATAAAGAGCAAAAAGCCAACATCACGTGGTATTCCCAGGCGGTCACCCATCCAAGTACTAACCACGCCCGATGTTGCTTAACTTCGGTGATCGGACGAGAACCGGTGTATTCAACATGGTATGGACGTTGGCGAACGTTAAAGCAAATTTAATGTATGGTATCCACAGTTAGACGTCAATTTATATTAATAAAAAAGTGTCGTTCCAAATTTTCGTACGAATTTTTTCCGTCTAGCCCCCTTTCACAACGCGCGATAAGGAACTTTGTTCCAATAACGCTAATTTAAAAGAGATGGTGGAAGCCGATCCAAGTCAAACTACCCAAGAATTAGCAGCATGGTTTAACGTTACCCTACCAACAATATTGACTCATTTGCATCAAATCAATAAGATGAAAAACATGAAAATGGGTGCCTCGTCATTTGACTGATCTGCAGAAAGAACGCGTGTTGAAACTTGTGTTACCTTGTTGAATCGGTACAGAAATGAAGGAGTATTATATCGAATTGTGACGTGTGACGAAAAGTGGATTATTTGTGATAACCGTAATGCATGCGAAAAATGCAATGGCTGACCCCAGGACAAACGCCGCAACAGTGCCCTAAAGCAAAGCCTACCAATAAAAAGGTAATGGTAACTGTTTGGTGGTCTCCATGGTGTTATTCAGTATAGCTTTCTAAGGTCTGGTCAGGCAATAACAGCAGATGTTTACTGTGCCAAACTTGAAGAAAAATGATGGCAAAACTGGCAATGAAACATCCCCAACTCGTGAATCTATCTTCACCATTATTGCTCCATGATAACGTGAGACCTCGAACTGTACGAGAAACCGTTGTAACTCTACAGGAGCTGCAAATTTTTTTCCCGGGACGCAGTACAAAATGCTTTCACACAGTTTCTCGAATCTAGATCCCTAGAGTTTTATCTTAAAGGCTTAAATGAACTTCCGTTTAGATGGTTGGTTGCTTGATTAAATAAATACTATGCTACATCTTAGAATAAAACGACTTATAATTTTTTCAGTACAAATCATCAATTTCATATTTTAACCCTTAATATTAATGTTTCTAAATTAATCTGTGTCCGCGCAACTTAATCTGCGTCTCTCAAATTTAATAACTTTGTCCCGCTTTTGCACGGCTCTTACTGGTGATACCTTGATTTTATATATTTTATAGAATTTTTCCATTCGAACCAGTACTTCCTGAGATTACGGTCAACCAAACAAACAAACTTTTCAGCTTTATAATTTTAGTATCCATTAAAAACTGAATGACATTGAATGGCTGTTTCTAAAATCAAGATTAGTCGCTTATCCGACGGTTTAATAAATAATCCAAAATTATACTTTACACGTAGATAACCTAAATCGGAGGACCTTGAAACTTTTACCTTTGAAACTATTTTATAAGTGTGAACGGAATTTCAATATATGCGTGATTGTGAATGTCTTTTATATTTATTTTTTTCTTTTTTTTTAAAGACAACTCCACTTATATATCCTGTGTACATGAAACTTACACAAAGAACATTCAGATTTAGAACAATAATTTTTTGATCACACTTTGTTGTCCCATTGTGGGATCGTACCCACAACATTCAGCGCAGTAGGAAGCGGCGTGGCGATCGCTTAAACAACTATGCCATCGGTGCCGTCAATTCATCAATTACCTGATGGTAAGTGACTACCGCTGCCGACACGTGCAATTGAAGGTTAAACTCAAACTAAAACTCATCAGTCTTTATTTTATATTTTTTTAAATTATTTGAAATTGTCTCTTGTGTCGACTCTAAAGTTCATCTAAAGATCAACACACACAATAGCAAAAATCTCTGTTTTGTCAAGTCACAAGGGCATTGCTCGTGGTGACCCCGGTAACTTCACTCACTCAGTGATGTGGAACGGAACGAAGAACTTAATACCAGTTGCCCGCCCGGCTGTGGTATTACTCCGATCGAATTGGCCTATATGGGCCGAAGTTAGATACGGGACAAAATCA